AATTTTTCACAGATATTCATGGTGTTCTAGTCATTATCGCTTTACTGTGTGTGTGTGTAGGTGTGTGTGTGTGTGTGTGTTATCCTGCCGCTGTGCATCCCTATTTACCATAAAGACATTACACAGAATTAAAGATCTTGTCTTTGGCAAACAGCTTTAAAGCAATTTAAAGGCGCCCTGAGTGAATGTGTGTGTTTGTGACTCCGGTCGTCTCCTCGGGAAGCCGGCGGCTCTCTGTTTGACCGGCCCTGACCTTCCACTGGAACAAAAACACTATTGATCCGCCGTCCGCAGACTCTATTACAGTCGCTAACCTGTTTGTTTGTAAATGTCCTGGGAGTAAACGGCGACGCTGATGCGCCATCATTTCATTTGGGCTGCCCTTGTCAAATCTCATCATGCATCTGCTTTACGCTCTCCTGCAGAGGCAGCAGCGACGAAATACGGTGAAGTCGAGGAAAAAAAAAGAGTCTTCCATTTGGAGGTTAGTCTGACAAACCGTAGCGATAAGGTGCAATAGGTTAACCCTTGGAGCCCCGAGCAGGCTGTGGGCATTTCTTCAGTAATGCAGCTCATTTTTCACTAAAGTCCTGAACCTGTACGGAGACGGCACGGCACAGCCACGACTAAAGGAGACGGAGCTCAGAGATATAGTTTGTGCTGAATGACGCAGTTATACAGCCAAGAACCGTAGAAAAACACATAACTAAACTGAATTATGTTCATTATTTATTTTACAAACAGCCGTGACTCGATGATCCGACACTAAACATAAAACCTTCTTCTATGTCGGATATCAAGGCTGTCGGATTGTCCAGACGGAGGTCCAGATACGAGGAGGGCTTGATGCTGGAAGGATCATTAGTTGTTCATTATTGTTCATAGTTGTTATGATGCTGGTCCCCAGCTTGTTTCTCGTGTGACTGTTGGTTCAGCGTTTTGCAAATACAAGTGACTGCAAATGGTTTATTTCTGGCACATGTGTAAATTGGATTCTGTATAATTAATTGATTTCAGTGAACTATAACAACTTCAAGCTTAGATTTGGACTTTTTTTTTTCTGAAGAAGCGGCACATGATGGATGAGCAGTTCAAAGATCATCAAAAAGCTGTTTTTTTAAAAAACTATTTCTGCTGAATAATGGTATCATTGTGGATGTTGTTTAGAAGATATCATGCTTTAGAAACCTTCTGGCAGGTTTTGGGTTTCACATGGTTCATGGTGTGGCCTTCAGGGCACTTCCCTTTCTCTGCTGTCATCACATGAAACAACAGACATGTTTGAAAATCACTTGGTTTGGCTTCTATCTGTCATTATTCCTAATAACTAAGCTAATGTGGAGTAGCTTCTGCTGTGCATCTAGCAGCTCCGCTGACTTGCAGAGCGGTGAGGAGACTAGAGCAGCGCTAGATGCTGTTTGTAATAGTTTTTACTGCTGATAGGGAGAAGATCGGCCGCTCTGCTAATCCAGCCTAATGTGTGGAATAAGCTCACCTTTGTATTCCTGAGTGCTGCGGCTCATACCTTCATTAGCTGCTGTATTTCTACACAGGCGTGAAGGAAAGAGCAGCGTGCATGTCGGTAACTTTATGAAAGTGATTTAGTGATTAATCGCCTCCGCGCTGGAGTCAATAGCAGCCTGATTTTACGCATGATCCATGATAATGAGATACAGACGGATCCAGACATACGTGGCAGAAACACTGTCGCTATTTCACAGATCATCTTCGTCTTGTTATGAGAAGCCGAGCTCCCCTTGGTTCCTGTGAACGTCACGCCCCGATTATATCTTCTTATATTATCAGTTATGTAATTTTATGCAGATTTCACAGACTTTAGATGGACTTTACTCATGATGTCAAACCCAGAAAACAGACTGTATCTGTTGTCTGCAAGCTCAAGATGTGAAATACCATCTGAATATCTGGATGTCTTTGCTTATCGCCACCATAAACTGTGGTTAAAAGATGAATGAAGCCTCCAGTTCTGAAAAGTGAAGCCTTACTCCTGCATTCTATGTAACAGCCAGCAGGGGGCGCCTCTTTCTTCTAATTCTACAGAAGTCTATGAGAAAATGATCCTACTTCTCACCTGATTTGTTGCATCAGTAGACGTTTTCCTATTGAGTTTATGGTCTGATTTGCTAGTTTCACGTCTCCTTCAGTACAGCATGGTGCTAATGTTGTACATCATGGTCCCATTTAAAGGAAAACAGATGATAAAGCCAGTCTGCAGTGAGATCTGCCCTTGATTGGTCATGTCTGGTTTCAAAAAAGCAAGATCGTGATGGCCAAGTTCCAAACTCAAGGCTTCAAAACAGTATTTAAAAACCAGTGTGTGATGTCTGTAGCTACTTCGCTAAGCTAGTTCATGATGATAATAATAATAATAATGATAATAATAATAATAACAATAGCAGTGGGTGGTTGGTGATGCTGCTGTGTTCCTAAATCAAGATGAGATTTAGTCACACCTTTGACAAAAATAAAAATACAGAGAATCATCAAGCAGACTGAACTATAACACACCCAGGAGGAAGTAGTTCCTTCACTCTGTCCTCAGGCGTAGTTTTATTTAGGAGGTAAAACCAGGAACATGCAGTCAGTTTATCTTAAATAAGGAATATGTTTGATTTGTCGTCCTTTGCAGACTTTCACTTTCTCAACAGAACATCTTCTTTCGGTACAAAGTGCCGAGGCATGGATTTCACTTCCAAAACTCCGGCCCGTGTTCTGCTCAAAAACTTTCGCCGTCCTCACATTAGCGCCGATAGAATTACAGCGTTTATCGTTGGAGGGACTTCCTGGACAACTGAATGCAGCGAGGACCAGTGAAGTGGGTTATTGAGCAGTAAAATGAAGCGATCCCAGACTTCCTCCATATCTTTTCCTGACAGCTCTTCTGGTCGGCACCTTCTAAAGGAGGGAGATTGGCAGAAAAACCATCCATCCCTAAACACAGCCATCACTTCCCCGTAATTACTCAGGAAGAATCAAATTAGCTCCTGACAAGATAATTCACTGACTGGCTTGGACTCCCACAGATAAGACGGCTAAATGCTCGAGTCTTTTTGATAAGAGTTTATAGTCGGAGGCTGAATAGTTTAGCTGTTGGTGTGTGTGTGTACAGTGTGTGTGTGTGTGTACAGTGTGTGTACAGTGTGTGTGTTTACATGTGCCTCCAGACATGCATGACGTGGAGGCTGCTGGCTGCCCTTTGCTGTGCTGTTGATGCACCTGATAGAGACGTGTGAGGATTCCTGCTCTTTGTTTGACCCGCCGTCACCGGAGCCGCTCCAGAGACCCGAGGTCCGGTTGGAATCCATTAGACACCTCTTTACGTGCTATTTGCCGCCGTTACCGGCTGCTGAACGTCAGAATAGAGCCTTAAAATTAGGCGCTGTGCTAACTGTCAGACTGTCAGACGGTGATTTGTTCTGAAATCACACGTTCTCGCTCTGCTCGGTGGAAATAACTGCTGCTTCTGACACGCATTAGAAACTGATTGCTTGAGGTTACGGTACAGAGGTAATATCCAAAAGTTTCAAACAGACTCCCACACGCCGGCGAACTTGCAGAAATACATTCATTTCTGCCCTTTTCTGCTCCAGACCTTCATCAAGCAGCTCTCGGGGACGTTCACGGTCGCTGCGATATGGAGTGTTTCACTTTTCTAACTTTCTGTACGTTATTGGAAACGGCCGTGCAAAAGATCAGGGATTCATGCATGTTAGGAAAATGTTATACAGCTTTTAAAAACGGCCAAAACATCTACCAGAGACAGTTCTAGGTTCTGATGGTTCTGATGGTTTAGTGCAGTTTCAGAGGAAAAGCCTAAGCACTGTGGGGATGTTTCATGTAAAACGCTTCGTGTCTTCTTCCATAAGTCACTGAAAATGAACCATTTGCATTAGAACCGGTAAGAAAACGAAACCATGTGAGAAGCCACGAGTGACTCAGCTGTGACCAACGTGATGAATAGTCAGCTGAACTGCAGGCAGTGTTTCCACAGAGCAGAGAGGAGAGGAAAGTAAAACCTACCGGATCAATAAAACAAGTGAAACCAAGCGATGGACTGTTGTGTCAGAGCGCCACGTCTTAAACATCCACATCACAGTCATGTGGCTGTGGGAATCCATAATCATGGTTAATGTTGGGTTTATTCTGCAGCCTTTAGGTAGCCACATGTGAAATAAACGTCATAATGTGATTTCATAGTTCTAAGTCCAATACGGATGGTTCTGGATGTGAGATGTGATATTTTATCCACACATAGCTGAACGATGACCTTCACACACACGGTGTTGGTCCATGAAACCCACAGAGACGTACAGAAAAAAAACAACTTGTGTAATTAGATTAGCATTGTGCAGCTTGGTGCAGAATTCCTCCTCCTGACCTGCAGCTCCACAAGCTGCTGACAGCTTCTGAGAGCTCGTCGCCTTCAGCGCGTCGGCTCACCTTTACCTGGGCTCGTCTTCCATCCTCTTCAGAGCAGCGCCAGTTCAAAGGCGCCTCTCTCTCATCTTGGTAATTTGAATACCTCCTTTTCTTGCGGCTGGCGGATAGAACCTTGGAAGTGATTTATATACTCCTCCTAAAGGAGACTCTCAGCCTGTTTACAGAGCATCAAGCAGCCATTACTGATCGGCCTTCAGTTATTGATGGGAGCTCAGTAAAACTTGGCCTTGCAGCCAGAGAGTCAGCTGTCACTCCTTTTTTCTTTTGCTTTTTCTTTTTTTTCCATGCACAGCGCTCTTTAATCTTCCAGTAATGAGTCATACAGAAAGCTGGCAGCGTGCACGGATGTTGGCGTGTAGCATGTCGACAGGCTCATGTGCTGGGCGTCACGTTGGACCTTGACAAACAGATGCTGCATCATTCAAGCGTGACACACTTTGTGAAAGACAACTATGAGGGCGTGTGCACTGGGTGTGTGTGTGTGTGTGTGTGCGTGTGCGTGTGTGTGTGTGTGTGTGTGTGTGTGTGTGCACGCTCACCCCCTGTGAGAAGTAAAAGGCTGCAATCCCCAAAGGCCAGAAACAGCAGAGCATGGAGAATATGGCCAGGCCCAGGTGATCTCGAGGGGGGACCACGATGAAGTTGTCTTCGCTCTCGCTGTCGCTGGAACAATCCGTCTGCAGGGGGAACAGAGAATAAGGTCAACACGGCACATTTCAAACTCACGCGTGAACAAAGTTTTAGAGCGAGTGAGTCGAGCTGCAGCAGGAAACACAACCGTCGGCGATGACGTTCGATTTGACTCATTTAAATGAAGCAGCTTCGAGGAGAAATCCACGCAGACGAGATGCGACTCTTGTGTTTGTTTGGTAGATTTAAGGCTACGGTTAGCAAAGGCATGCGTTCTAACTGGGACTGTGAGCAGGATGTCTTTCTAAATGCACTGTGATGCTTAGATGAAGGCCATGTGCTGCTCTCATGCAGCTTCAGTCCAGATATCCTGACACAGCAGTGATGCTGCCTGCAGCGCGGTCCTGATGAAGACTCCAGCTAAAGTTAGCCACGTTTAGCTCCTACTACCAGCAGCTCACTCCCACCTCCTGACTCAGCCTCACAGCTCGACTCACAGACTGCAGAAAACGACCTGAGTTCGTGCAGGTGTATCTTAAAAACCCTCCCAGCTCGGCCGTACGGCTGCTGGGACGTCGCTTTAGTAGCTGGTGGTTTGAAAGCAGACAACAGTGAGAATATTCCTGCAGAAACACGACGTGTTCGGCTCTAATTTCAGAGGTTTCACTCCGAGCGGCCGTGCAGATGTCGTGGGTGTCGAGCTGCTGTTCTGACTCATAAAGCAAACCTCTGTTTACTTTTCCAGCATCGTCTGTTCACAGCAGCACGCTGTTTTTGGGCTCATGCATAACCAGTTTGTAAATTATGTTTATTATCGTCTGGCTTCCTAATGCAGGTGATTTAACAGGAATATTAGACACACCGAACCGCCTGTTGTCACGGAGCCTGATCACACCATCAGCTGCTTGATTTCTCAGTTACTAGACGTGTTTTTGTGCATTATGACGGTTTAGTTTGTGGTAAAAGCAGCAGCAGACGTATACAAACTGGTCAGTAACCCGTTTTCACTCCACATGCCTGCTGTGTTGTTCTGATTCCTCCTGATCTGGGATCAGGCCTGATGCCGTCTCTGTCCATCAGTAACATCTGCCTGCTGACAAGTTCTATCGTGTTTCATTACGCTTCCATTTTTACCCACGTTACACAAACAAGATGTGATTTAATGAGCTTCAGAGATGTTGAAGGAGGGATTTTGGTATTTTTAGACAAATCTGGTGCAACTCCAGACTCACCAGCTGTTGGTTGGAGCCGGAAATAGAGTCAAGACAGCGAGTTTCCTGACTGTAGATGGTTCATTCATAGCAACAGACTGATTTCAGGACCAATCATCCTGCATGTTTTGGGCAGTTTTACTGGTTAATGAATGTTTTATTGGTGTGTTTGTCCTGTTGTGTAACCGCTGCTCCTGTGGTGGTCGACGATAGATGACCACACCGTCACATATTTATGTTGTAGTTCAGAAAATCATCGTTTGAATCACAGTCGTCTGATCTGAAGGATTCAGAACCTGAGCCACATTTGTACATAAATGACAAAAACATGAGAGCTAGACTCCAGAATAAATAGTGATTAATGAAGAATAAAGGCTTCAAACACATGATTTTATTGTATTATTATGACTATAATAAATGATATTTTACTACCTTTTTAACATACAGACTAAACATAATTAATGTGCTGCTGGTGACTCAATGAGCACTTTTTAAACATCAGTGTGACACCTTTGAGCGGTTTCAATGACTTTCCTGCAGGAAGACGCTGGACGTGCACAAACAGGTACGACTGAAACTAAACGAGCTTCAATCAGCTGACTGCAAATTAAAAAGCCAGTTATTAGTGCGTCCGTTCAGAACGTTGTCCAAATGTTTGCTCAGTGTTGATTTGCAAACAGATCCGAGGCAGGTCGGAGAAAGAAAAAGAAAAGTTTTCCCTCGAGCACTAAAACAAGGTAGAAGTGATTTTCGAGTTGACTGGTCGCACAAAGAATCGGCGCTCATCGAAAAAAGAAAAAAAAGGCATTTGCGTAATGGGAAACAAAACATGTCACCGCATGCGGGATCATTTGCTTCCTCCTAATGTCTCGCCTCCCGTTCGTGGACGCTCTGGCGGCGACGGTCCATTAGTTTCTCATTACGTCTGAGATATGCAGATTCCGACATTTTGGCGCCTAAACAACAGATGGCATCAGAAAAGGAGCCGCGGTCCGACGTACGCTCCATTTCAGATGTGAAACAGTTCTGAATCAAACACACCTCCTCCCTCAGAGCTTTATGAAGCTATTTCACGCTCCACGCAGCATTCCTCACACGGACCCACGGCGCCGCCGGCTGAACAGGAAAGACGCTCGCGGGTTGGAAAAGGTTCCAGACTCCCCGTCCAGAGCAGAACACGTCAGAGGTTCTGACCAGCAGCCGAGAGCAAAGGCTCAGATTGATCTGGTCTAATGAACAGATTGAGGCCACGTGTTCGTCCTTCCTCACATGATCCGTCTGAAGGATGATCCAGCGCCAACACGGGAAATAAATGAAAAATAAAACCAAGGCCAACAACATAATGTGTTGAACATTTCAATCAGAGCGGCTGGAGACGGATGACAGGACTGTGACACCTCATTTCCATCAAGCAGTCGGCTGATTTCTGGACTTTCATTTCAAACAAACGGCTGTAATGAGTTTTTTCATGAAGGCAGACGTCAGGACGCTGAGCCTGAGTCTACAGCCTCCTGCTGGGCATCAGGCTCCACGTCGCCGTTTGATAAAGTTGGTTTTTCTGGAGGTTGTTGCTAAAAAAACAAAGCAGACATTTTCTTGGCTGACTTGTATCTGCCTCACGACTCCCTCGACTCGTTTGTTTCAGACTTCTGTCCCAGCGGCACCCGGCGTGGAATCGTTTTTCTTTTTAAACTTTTGTTATCTTCAGGGAGCTTTTTTTTTTTCTTTTGAGATGAAAGGAAATGAAGGAGGGAGATTGGAAGCAGTGGGCAAGAAACACTGATGGAAAGTAACAGAGTACATTTACTCGAGTACAATTTTGAGGCACTTTTCTGCAGCCGTCTCCGTCTGCTCGACCACATCTCATCGTACTTTTCACTTGTTCTGCAAATGTGACAGAACAACAAACACAGGAAGCTTTTAAAACGCAGCTACAGATTCAAACTTGTTCCAGAAGCAGCGTGCAGTCGGCTCACGTTTCAGATGTCTGAGCTGTTAGCAGCTCCGCCACGGAGCAACGTCCAATAAATGTTCTGCTGATCCAACATCACAGCAGAAGAAGATTCCTCAGACTCATCTGCTGCCTCCGACACGCTGATGCTTCACCGTTAATAATCTGATCGTGTGTCAGTGAGACAACCAGGACTTCTACTGCAAACAACAGTCATATAATAGGACTTTTACTTGTAATGCAGTACTTTCACGTTGCTGGAGTGGTACTTTTACTGAAGTAATCCTCACATCGCTGCTGGAATTCAGGTGATGCACTTATTTTAATAAATGGATCCAACGTTTTAGTAGAAACTCAATCTACAGACTGCAAATTAAAGCAGAAACCCACATAAAACATCTTAACAAGACCAACCCGCTGAGCTGTTCCTTGGTACTGAGGGTCCAGGTCTGGGGAGCTCCACCAGGAGGGTGAACACCATTTCTCCACCAGATATTCCATCAGTTGGTGTTTTGAAGATGGCTGTGGATGAAGCAGTTTGACATGTTCATCCAGAATCTTCCACAGATGTTCAGCTGTGAAGACTTTCATCAACCCGTTCAGCCGATGGAGTCGTCCTCTTGTCTGGAGATGGGACTGAACCTGTAGCTCCTCTCTTGACCTCCTCAGGTGAAGGTGGTGTCTGTAGCACATGTGCACCAACCTGCAAGTCTTCTGCAGATTCTTGACCTCATGTAGGAGGACAGGCAGGTTCTCCCAGTGCCCCTCAAGGCCAGACTGCACCAGGACTAGCTTTAGCTTTCCTCTCATCCATAAATCTAGATGTGAAGGACGGCATCAGGCCGAAGGTGTGAGAGAATCCTCAGAGGTGATGCTGCGTGAACGGTTCAGCTTCAGGAACAATCTGACCAAACACAGACACCAGCACATGTGTCGTCCTCACACTGCCGTTAAACAGCAGAACACTTCCTGTTTTTACTGTAGACTCTCCATTAAAATGCAGAAAATGTTCTTGACTGTGGCCACACACCTGCCTGCTGTTATATATTCGGGTCAGCCTCCTCTCAAGGTTCTGCTTTGTGGACACGTTATTTGCATAAACACAGGCACCAGCATATTTTTCAAATTACTTTATGAATTTACCAGACGTGCATTTTCTATATTGTATATCTGCCATTAAATAACAGACAGTGTTTTCCTCCATAGAGGCACCAGCAACATGCAGAAAATGCCCCCTGCTAATTAACTGCCATCATTGTTCCTGTTCTATATGATTCAGGTCAGTCTCATAAGAAAAACAACATATTATATAGAAACACAAGCACCTGAATATCTTCAGTTTTTTTTTAAAATTAGCAGTTTGAACCATTTAAAATCTGAACATGAGTGTTTTTGCTCTAAAGTCAACATTTAGAGGTTTTTTATTATGACCATTATTTTATAACGTGTTAATCAACAGAACATGTAGCTCCAGTGCTGTTCCTGCTACAGGTTTGTTTCTACATGTACAGATGACTGTTGCTGCTGTGCTTCATCCAGCGTGTGTGCAGCTCAGCACCGTGATGCATTCAGTGTTTAACGTCTGTAAATGTTTGGGAGCTTTGGGAATGCATCTGCTTTGGGAAGCAGTTTTCAGTTAATTTTAATAACACACACCCTCGTAGCCTCGTAGCCTGATTGTTGGTGGGGATTAGAGGGCTGCTGGTAGAGATGTGTAGGGGAAATTAATCTTCTCCAAAAATAGACCTCTTGAAGACAAAACAAGTGCGTTGAACACCAGAACCTTCCCGTTTCCTGCGTTCGCTCAGACAGCGCCGGTCGGTGTTGTCAGGCTGAGCTCACGCAGCTGCTAAAAGCTGTGGAAACAGGCTCCTGCAGAGGTGGT